GTTCAACATGTAAGAAGTAGAAAATACAGGTATTTGGGTTCAACTAGTGAGAAGTAGAAAGTACAGGTATTTGGGTTCAACATGTGAGAAGTAGAAAGTACAGGTATTTGTGTTCAACATGTAAAAAGTAGAAAGTACAGGTATTAGTGTTCAACATGTAAGAAGTAGAAAGTACAGGTATTTGTGTTCAACATGTAAGAAGTAGAAAGTACAGGTATTTGGGTTCAACTAGTGAGAAGTAGAAAGTACAGGTATTTGGGTTCAACATGTGAGAAGTAGAAAGTACAGGTATTTGTGTTCAACATGTAAGAAGTAGAAAGTACAGGTATTAGTGTTCAACATGTAAGAATTAGAAAGTACAGGTATTTGTGTTCAACATGTAAGAAGTAAAAAGTACAGGTATTTGGGTTCAACATGTAAGAAGTAGAAAGTACAGGTATTTGAGTTCAACATGTAAGAAGTAGAAAGTACAGGTATTTGTGTTCAACATGTAAGAAGTAGAAAGTACAGATATTTGTGTTCAACATGTAAGAAGTAGAAAGTACAGGTATTTGGGTTCAACATGTGAGAAGTAGAAAGTACAGGTATTTGAGTTCAACATGTAAGAAGTAGAAAGTACAGATATTTGTGTTCAACATGTAAGAAGTAGAAAGTACAGGTATTTGGGTTCAACATGTAAGAAGTAGAAAGTACAGATATTTGTGTTCAACATGTAAGAAGTAGAAAGTACAGGTATTTGGGTTCAACATGTGAGAAGTAGAAAGTACAGGTATTTGTGTTCAACATGTAAGAAGTAGAAAGTACAGGTATTTGTGTTCAACATGTAAGAAGTAGAAAGTACAGGTATTAGTGTTCAACATGTAAGAAGTAGAAAGTACAGGTATTTGGGTTCAACATGTAAGAAGTAGAAAGTACAGGTATTTGAGTTCAACATGTAAGAAGTAGAAAGTACAGGTATTTGAGTTCAACATGTAAGAAGTAGAAAGTACAGGTATTTGAGTTCAACATGTAAGAAGTAGAAAGTACAGGTATTTGTGTTCAACATGTAAGAAGTAGAAAGTACAGGTATTAGTGTTCAACATGTAAGAAGTAGAAAGTACAGGTATTAGTGTTCAACATGTAAGAAGTAGAAAGTACAGGTATTTGTGTTCAACATGTAAGAAGTAGAAAGTACAGGTATTTGTGTTCAACATGTAAGAAGTAGAAAGTACAGGTATTAGTGTTCAACATGTAAGAAGTAGAAAGTACAGGTATTAGTGTTCAACATGTAAGAAGTAGAAAGTACAGGTATTTGAGTTCAACATGTAAGAAGTAGAAAGTACAGGTATTTGGGTTCAACATGTAAGAAGTAGAAAGTACAGGTATTAGTGTTCAACATGCAAGAAGTAGAAAGTACAGGTATTTGAGTTCAACATGTAAGAAGTAGAAAGTACAGGTATTTGTGTTCAACATGTAAGAAGTAGAAAGTACAGGTATTTGTGTTCAACATGTAAGAAGTAGAAAGTACAGGTATTTGGGTTCAACATGTAAGAAGTAGAAAGTACAGGTATTTGGGTTCAAAGTGTAAGAAGTAGAAAGTACAGGTATTTGGGTTCAACATGTAAGAAGTAGAAAGTACAGGTATTTGTGTTCAACATGTGAGAAGTAGAAAGTACAGGTATTTGGGTTCAACATGTAAGAAGTAGTAAGTACAGGTATTTGGGTTCAACATGTAAGAAGTAGAAAGTACAGGTATTTGGGTTCAAAGTGTAAGAAGTAGAAAGTACAGGTATTTGAGTTCAACATGTAAGAAGTAGAAAGTACAGGTATTTGGGTTCAACATGTAAGAAGTAGAAAGTACAGGTATTAGTGTTCAACATGCAAGAAGTAGAAAGTACAGGTATTTGAGTTCAACATGTAAGAAGTAGAAAGTACAGGTATTTGTGTTCAACATGTAAGAAGTAGAAAGTACAGGTATTTGTGTTCAACATGTAAGAAGTAGAAAGTACAGGTATTTGGGTTCAACATGTAAGAAGTAGAAAGTACAGGTATTTGGGTTCAAAGTGTAAGAAGTAGAAAGTACAGGTATTTGGGTTCAACATGTAAGAAGTAGAAAGTACAGGTATTTGTGTTCAACATGTGAGAAGTAGAAAGTACAGGTATTTGGGTTCAACATGTAAGAAGTAGAAAGTACAGGTATTTGGGTTCAACATGTAAGAAGTAGAAAGTACAGGTATTTGGGTTCAACATGTAAGAAGTAGAAAGTACAAGTATTTGTGTTCAAAGTGTAAGAAGTAGAAAGTAAAAAGTCGTCAGAAAAACAAGTAGTGGAGTAAAGTACTGATACCAGAAAAATGTACTTAAGTACAGTAACGAAGTTGTTGTACTCCACTACTTCCCACCTCTGAAGATATATCAAGAACAAGACGCCCGTATACAAGATGGCACAGCGGACGTAAACAACAACGTGAAGTCAGAGCTCCGTAAAAACAAAGCTATTTCTGGAGTAATTATACAGCTTTTGACGAACAGAAATATTATTTTCTGGCATCACTTTAACATTTGACTACCCGGTGCAGACCTGATATAACACCTAGGGTAGGAATTCAATCCTAAAATGTGTTGTACTCGACACAATTAGGCAATAAGTTATCACTAGTATCTCATTGTATGTCTTTCAGTTGTGATTCTACTTCCTTTAATGCAGTCAGTTTTCTTTTCACAGGCTATTTTAAAACCAAACCAAAGTCTGTGTATCATGAGATTCTCTAAAACTGGCATTGGGTGCCATCTAGTGTCCATCCAGGGAACATGCAGGCATTTCAACTTATTTGATGACAAAGTGTTGAAAAAACGTGAAGAATCTGAGCATGCAGTTACATTTAGGAGACCTCACACTATCATAATTATAGAGAGTTGTAGGAATGGGGCGAAGCCTGTGAGCTCAGTCAGGCAGTCAACTCGAGCACCAATGATACATGAACACGTGACGCGCCTCGTCCCTCTTACAACCAACCAAACACATTCTCCTAAACATGCCGCTCTATTTAAGCTGCCAGGTCAAATTTGCTGTGAATTAAAGAAATAGTTCCCCCCAGTAATTATGATTTGTATATCCTGGCGTCAACCTAACTAAGACAAGTTTTATTTTACACTTACAATCTAAAAATAATGTGATTTATTTTATAAATTGTGAGATTGTAGCCGTTTTTTACTCTTTAAGACTTTAAGTATTAAGTAAAGGATTAATTGTCATAAAAATGTAATTGATTAAAATACAAACAATTATCTAACTAGATTACTTTCTATCAAATGTCTTTTATGTTTCCCAATGCAGTCATTTCTGATTTGAAGCCCCTTAACTCTAAAAACACTGCTTCAGGATATCATTATAGCTATTTTAAAATATGTTATTTTTTGATATACATTTCAGTCTTGCAAAATGTGTCTCGATTACTTTGTCTTTTATTACATTTCTTATTTTATATCTGTTGTTTTAATCTTGCTCTTGCCAAAGGTCGTTTTCTCAAAATGAGTTTTTTCTCCTATTCTGAGTAAGAAATATCAACTTCAGTAGCACGTACATACACCAAACCTTCCAGTTATATTCCTATCAATATTATGAAGGCTTTTACAGAAGGGTTTGTTCATATATAAATCATAGCCTGAATTATTTAACATTGTATACCTAAAAACATGGCAAAAATTGATATGTTACGGCTGTTGACAGTCTGATTTATGGAGTGATAAAAAGAAATATCCAAAATCCCTTCGGTAAAAACTTTAGATTCTAATATGACTACAAAATGAAACACAAACTTTGAACCTGGCTTTATCCAATGTTCAGATTTGTGTTCCTGAAATGTGAAATGTGCTTGATTCTCTTATCTCTTCTCTTGACTGTATTACAATAGTCCTGTCTTTAACAAAATGTAAAGTCCTTCTTTTGCACCTTTTGAAGACTCCAAAACAGGCATTTGTATTTTGAGGGGAGTTTGACAGGGTATTACTCAAGAAGTACACGATAAAAGTACTTGATTGTACTTGTGGTCGTACTCCAAGTAGTACTCTGTCCAGCAGTACCACTTTCACTGAGAACTTATGGCAAAAAATCATTTTATCTCTCATCAAAGATGGCAGAAAACATACATGATTGTACTCTGGAGGGGAGTTTGACAGGGTATTACTCAAAAAGTACACGATAAAAGTACTTGATTGTACTTGTGGTCGTACTCCAATTGTACTCTGTCCAGCAGTACCACTTTCACTGAGAACTTATGACAAAAAATCATTTTATCTCTCATCAAAGATGGCAGTAAACATGCATTATTGTTCTCTGGAGGGGAGTTTGACAGAGTATTACTCAAATAGTACACAGTAAAAGTACTTCATTGTATTTGTGGTAGTAGTCTAACAAGTACTGAGTCCAACAGTACCAATTTTATTAAGAACTTATGGCTAAAAATTATTTTATCCCTCATCAAATATCATTGATTGATTGATCAAATATAACATCAGCTCGTGTACTGCCGTCAGCGCCGCTTCTCGGCGATTACCGTAAAGACGCTATTAATCGCGCACTCAAAAATGAAGCGCTGCTCATTTGACCAAGCAAATGCGAGAGACGGCTGAGTTGACCGCAGTTAAAATATGCGCATATTTAATGAGATTATGGCTCATTTGCATATTTAAACATGCTATTTCAGAAAACTTGTAATACAAAAAACAATTGCCTTAATGTAAGTAATTAACTGTAACAATTTCTAGCTGATATCTAAGTAAAAGTATATCTATTCACCTGTCGTGTCTCGCCTTAAGCATGAAAAGCAGCACCAGATTCCCCCTAAAATCACCCAGAAGCAGACAGCACGTGTCTTTAAATCCGTCTCCCGTGTCTCGTCATCAGAAACAGAGTAGGCCTATATCATCACGAGCCTTTAAACACCTCCACCTGATGCATTCAACTCCTAAACTAACTTTATCAGCGCGTTTTAATGAAAGGTTTAATCAGAGTTCCTCACCGTGTTTGTTGCTCGCAGCTCATCATCATCATAAACAACCGGACAGAGAGGCGCGGCCGGGCTTCCGGTGGGTTTATAAGGTTTTATCCAAATTTGAAAAATAACAGGTGTTGTTTTGACAGAAAGATCTGGATATACTTTCATTGTGTTTATGTGGGGTTATTCTGCAACAACTGCACGGTTTAATTCGATATTTTGACAAATTTTTATTAAGAAAACTAAAAATTCGATTTATTATTAATAAAATGTCAAAAACATACATCAAACATATTAATCAGACTGTTTTGAACACTTTAAATGTGTTTATATGGATTACAGTCCACATGTTGCACGGTTAAAAGTATGAATTGTGACCTTTTCATTACAATTTCAAAATAAATCGGAAGGTTTTATTAATAAAGTCTCGAAAAATGCATGCAGCATCTCAAACAGGCTGTCTATTATACTCTAGTCTACATGTCTTTGCATGTTCTATACTTTATATTCATCACAATTAAAAGTCAATATTGTGACCTTTTTATTTAAATTTCAAAATAAAACGTGAGCTTTTCTTTAAGAAGGTCTTTAAAAATGCATGAAACATATCAAACAGATTGCTTTTATGTGTTTAAATGTGTTATATAGGTTATTTTGCAACAACTGCACGATTTAATTCGATATTTTAATTTAAAAACTAAAAAATGTATATTTTTTTCATTAAAGGTGGGGGAGGTAAGTTTGAGAAACCGGCTCGAGATCGCTAGAATTTGAAAATACACGACCGGAGAAAATCTGCCCCTTCCTCACAGAGCCCCTCCTCCAACACACACGAACGCGCACATGACCAATGAGGGCACGAGATAAGTTTGTACCCAGATGGAAGGCTGGCAGGCAGGTAGGCCATCCAGTTACTTTAGCCGGCTCAGATGATTGGTTGTACTTTTTACAGCGCCACGGCTTCCAGAGATAATAGGCTTCGATAGCAATGAATATCTGAAGAGCTTTGACTAGTGATGGCAAAATGAAGCTTTGAATGAAGCGTCGAACCACTTGGACAATTGTGTCGGAAATAGGTTCATTTCTCGAAGCTTCAGTTACAGCGACCTCTCCTGGCGAAGTGCAAGGCTGCAGTGAGTTTAACGTATCTTTGCCTTGAAAAATATTCGATGCACACACACACTAAGACTGAATATCATGTTCTATTTGCAATTAAAGATTGATAATTGTGTGTATTGGGTTATTGAGAAGAGACTAGAGAGTGCTTGACATGTTTTTGGGCGGAGAGGGCCTTTTATCAGTTATTAAAGTTGAAAAGCAATGATTAAAATACGTCCATTCCGGGCTTTGAACCAGCTGCGCGGAGGACATCGCCGCATTCGGGCCGCCGGCTCTCCCCACTGGACTATCTATTCCTTGAAATATTTAACTGTTTTTATATTACTGATAATTATCTTTTTGTTCACAACTTCTCCACATTTCAAAGTGTTTCCCGAGCCAGAACGACCTATCTTTCTTCCTGGCTTGCTCTATAATGATACTACAATTCAAATGCAATACCAAGAACAACTCAACAGCAACAACGCAAACTACGACAACAACCCACACATTGCGCATTGTTTAGAGCGGTCATAAAGTGTTGAAGCGCTCAAATTCAAAACTGTTTCAACCTGTCAGAATCGAGACGAGGCAGTACATTGAATCGCGTGAATGGACCGTGAACCAGTCAAGTGATTCATTCAGGAAATGAAGCAGTTACTGGTTCGGACGTCACATGTCACGTGATTTGAAGCAAGCTTCGAAGCACTGCTTCTATGGAATAGGAAGTCCAGGGTTGAAGCTCCGTTCGAAGCTTCAGTGTCAAACTGCCATCACTAGCTTTGACAACAAATCCATAAATAAATAGGCTTGTTTGAGACAAGCGAGACCTGCGCAATTTCGATCAACGTCTTGCTCGTGCGTTGCATGATGGTTAGTCATTTTGTCCGACTTGCTCTGGAGGCTCGCCTACATGATACGTTGAAATCTCGCGGGACAAAGACGCTCGCAGCCTTGAGAGCGAGGCGCGGCGAGGCGGCGCAGTTCCTCTCCACGGGCTGCGGAAGCGAAATGCTTGATGGGAAACGACTCGCTGGTATCTCGAGCTGAGCGCTCATTGGTGGTTTTTACCACGTGCTGCTGATGAAGCTCTCCCATTGGCTGGGCAAAAGTTTGTTGTTGTTTTGTGTCAGTTTTACGTCGCCACATCCATTCCCATTGTTCATCATTGTTCCCCAATGTTTATCATCATGAAATTAATATCTATATATTTTATACTATACTTGCACTGCTTATCGTTTTCATACTTTATATATCTTAGCATATTCATACACACTGTTCATACTGCTCTCAGGCTGCTGTGTATATCTAGTGTATTCATACCACTCACTGTTTATTCATCATTCAATTCATTCTTTATGTTATTCTGTCTATTGTGTACATTACTTTTCACTTTACTGCTTGTTGCACCTGGTTAGAAGCTAAACTGCATTTCGTCGTCATTAACGATTAAACACATGTGTGCATTCTTTATAAATGCAAACCGAGTCAAGCCGACTCCGGAGGTGGCGGTATGCACCTTCAAGCTGTTTGCAATCCGCCAAAAAACCGAGAGAAGAAGAAGAAGAAGACGAAGCCGACTCCGAGCTGTCTAATATTAGGCCTAATATTAGGCTTGTTTGAGACGCGTTGCGGCTCGCCTCGAAAGTAGACGAGAGTAGCCGATCGCAGCCGGGGGAGGTCTCAAAAAGCTCGCCTGAAGTCGGACAGCTCGGAGTCGGCTTCTTCTTCTTATTATTAAATGTAAGAATTGAGAAGCCTCTAGAGCAGGGGTGGGGAACCTTTTTCCTCTCAAGGGCCATTTCAATTTTTACAATATCCTCAGAGGGCCGTACAAATTATTGACCTCTGCTTAAAAAAACTAAAATCACAGCCCATTCATTTCATTCTGTGCAAAGAAAAAGCAACCTCTTAATCCAGATATCTCACCATGACTCGCGTATGCGTGCACGGTGTGGCATGCATGCACGTGCACGGTGTGGCATGACCACCAAAACACAAATATATGGACACAAGATGTTTGCAAATGTATTTAGACTCCTATCCATGTGAACATGATTTAAGTAGGGGCAGGGTCGGCTCTAGAACAAATCAAATGGGGGGGCAATCATTTACCAAGGGGGGGCACATACTGCCGTCAACAACCAACACACAAACACCAACGCAACTTCAATTAAAAAAAACATGCTGTAAAGTGTATTGTCTTTCACACACATTGCAGGGTGTAGTGCTATTTTATAGCGCACCTATGACTTGTGCATACATGCAAGGCATGGCCTGGCATGACCACCAAAACAGAAACATATGGACATAGGCCACCATATGAAAAGTGTGCAAATGTATTTAGTATCCTATCCATGTGAACATGTTTTAGGTGGGTGTGCACCTAACCTCCTCTAGGAGGGTCTGGGGGCATGCTCCCCCGGGAAGATTATTTTTAAAATATTGAAGTTAAAAGCATCAATCTGGTGCACTTTGAGAGCAAAATGAAGAGATCTATGGATAGCCTACATCTCTCAGCATCCATATGAAACAGAACTGTACACAGATTTACTTTTTCTTTATGGATATTTTACTAATCATTCCCCTTTTAAATGGTATTCTTGTGTTATTGTCCTATAGTAGGTCATACCCGTTTTTCATTTATTCTCTTATTCTTTAATGACTATAATGATCATATAAAGGTAGCCTATTCCTCGCAAATACTTGTTTACATAAATGGTGACCAAACCGTTTGAGACCCACTGAGATAACTTACACTAAAGTGAACTATCTAAACACTGAGAGTCCTTACCTCACTGAGCTGACGTTATAAGATCCTCTCAGTCTGACAGGAGAGGACTCTCCTCCACCTTGGTGTAGAAACAGCTCTTTATATCCGTTAGCATAGCTAGCTAACCAGATGCTAACAACAATATTCCACGTTACCGCTCGCGCACTGACAAAATGCGCTCGTGCCACACACAGAGAGCCGAGCTTGAATGAAACACAGAGACCCATGTACTTGTACTGTACTGTATATCATATTATTTTCGATGGCTTTACTGTATAATCAGTATAACAGATGGACAGATCGCCACTGGGCTTTCATCTAAACACACAGCCACGTAATGATAACAAAACAAAAGTCGGGGTCATTGGTCAAGCAACACACCAATCAGAGAGCAGCAGTGAGCACACCTCAGGCTGTGTTTCATATAAAGAATAAATAAAGAATACAAATGTGTATTCTTTATTTCTGATGTATTTCACACAAAAAACTTTTGGTGGAAACGTTTTAACTTATATGATTCAAAAAACAAAAAACGGCAAAGTGGCAATAAGGCTTGCCCACCCTGCGTTGGGGGGGCACAGTGACTCATTTGGGGGGGGCATGGCCCGCGAATGACCCCCCATGACGCCGACCCTGAGTAGGGGGGGCCTGACCTCCTCTACGGGGGACCTAACCTCCTCCAGCTCCCACGGGAAGATTTTTTTTTAAATGTTGAAGTTAAAAGCATCAATCTGGTGCACTTTGAGAGCAACATTAGGAGATCTATGGATACATCTCTCAACACCCAGATGAAACAGAACTGGAAGCAGATTTCTTTTTCTTTATGAATATTTGACAAATTACTCCCCTTTCAAACTGTATTCTTCTTTATTAATAACAACTTTTTTTTACTGTCATATAGTATTTTATACCTGTTTACTTTATTCTCTTGTTCTCTTGTCAACTATAATGATCATATAAAGATGTGCCTTTACCTCACTGGTTGTAGAAAAAGCTTCTTATATTCGTTAGCATAGCTAGCTAACCAGATGCTAATAACAACAAAGTTATGGACTGTATGATCAGTGTGACGGATGAGCAGATCGCCACTGGGCTTTCAGCTAAAGACACAGCCACGCAGAAACTGCGGCATGTGTACGGCTCCTTATCGGTACTGCAATGTGTGAAGTGCTGGAGTGGCGTTCCGGTGCTCTCAGTCAGAACTGCACCCCTGTCAGTCGAGACATATACC